CATGTCAGTCATCCAGGACTCCTCCCTTTCCTCTGTCCTCACATCCCATTCCACTTCTATTTGGCTGCCAATTTTTTGGAAACCATTTCTCAATTCTGGTCTCATGTCTTGAACTTGATACCTTAATTCAACTATTTCTACCATGATTTTCAATGAACTTATCTTGTCTCTAGTGTTAATAATCTGAAACCAAATACCCTCCACATGACCCAAGTTCCTCTTCTATTCCTGCTATTCCTTAGACACAAGTCCCGGACCTCTATCAAACCCTCTGAAATCTTTGGCCTACAACAATTAGAAAATAGTCTTGTTTCTTGGCAACCACAGACCTAGGGAAACTAGAGCCCTCTTCAAAACCTAATACATTGATATTCTGCTCTGTAAGTTAGAATCAGTGTGCTCAATTACTACAAATAAGAATCCTACCCAACCAAGATACAATGAGGCTTACTCTAAAAAAGCCAGTTAGAGAGCCTTACCATTAGTGAAGGAGTTTAGGGAGTCATAGGTAAAACTGTAAACAAATGGAGAGAAGAAACTGCAGCTATGAAATGGCACATTCTTAAAAGCTAAACTAGAATGATAGGAGAATGTTTCTTTCAACATGAATCTTCCTTCCCAGTACCTTTCTATTTCAGAGGCTGATAATGATTCCTATTGCCTATCTTGAGAACTGTTGTATTTTAGGAAGTGCTGATGTCTTAATTCAAAGGAATGATAATGTGAGGCATGGACTGCAATGGCAGGAGGAATTGTTACAGAAGAGCCTTAGAGAATATCTCAGCCTCCATCAGATAAGCAAGTGCTTACTCTTCCCAGTTAGAGGTCAGCTATATTCCTCCATATCTGAAAATAAAAGATGAAATCATCATATTTATCAGGGCCCTCCAGTATTATACAATAAAATTATATATAGTTATATTAAAATGACTAATTAAAATAGAATTCATGCTCAGGTTCATCAATAGAAGCATCTTTATAGTTAAAAGGCAAGAAAATTAAGACTTCTTGGCAAGAAACAACAGAGACTATAAAACAAGCAACTTCATGTGAAATTAAAAGTTCCTATACTTTATTAGTAAGTTTCCATATTGAGACATTTTTGTAAATGTCCTGAATAAATGCATATATTATGTGCTGAACGTTTGTCTCCCTGAAATTCCTATGCTGAAGCCGTAACCTCCAATGTAATGGTACTTGGAGGCTAGGCCTTTGGAAGGTAATTAGGTTTATATAAGGTCATGAGGGTGGGGCTTCCATGATGAGAATAGTTTCCTTATAAGATGATGAACAGAGACAAGAGCTCACTCACTCTCACTCTGTCCTGTGAGAACACAGCAAGAAGGCAGTCTTCTGTGAGCCAGAAAGAGAGATCCCACTGTAGAGCCAAACTGGCTAACACCTTAATTTTGGACTTCTCAGTCTTCAGAACTATGAAAAATAAACTCCTGTTTTAAGCCACCCAGTCTATGGTGTATTATTATAGCAGCCTGAGCTGATCAATGCAACGTATATGTTTTAAATGTCAAAAAGTGATCTATTCACATGCCCTTAACACTCATCTACTAAAATCTATCACTGTGTTTGGGTCAATTATCCAGGGATGTCTTTGAGCCAAACAATTCAGATGAGACAGGAAAACAGAGAACCCCAAAGCCCATTTAGTCCCACATCATTTTCTCTCTTTTTTTGAGATGGAGTCTTGCTCTGTTGCCAGGCTGGAGTGCAGTGGCACGATCTGGCTCATGGCAACTTCCAACTCCCTGGTTCAAGTGATTCTCCTGCCTTAGCCTCCTATATTTCTATTCCTTAGTGGAAGAAGACCTGGTCATAATAAAGGTCATTGTAAAACAAATTTGGGGATGGGTATCCACACATGTGCTGTAGTGACAGGTGTACACATGTTATACCATAACATGTGTACAAACACATCTTAAAGTCTAGTTAATGGAAAATCACAAACCAAAAATAATGTTAAAAATGTACATTATAACACACACTGTAGGTTTAACTCAATAACAACAACAAACTCAACTGATCATGAATTTAAACAGTAATTTTCCATTAAAAACAAAAAAATAGTAGCAATTAAAAATCATTAACAACTTGAGACAACATGGATGATGTGCTGGAAATGAAATATCCTTCCTCCACATTATAGGAATTCCAACCATAACTTGGTTGTGGGCATTCACGATAGAGCTCTGAAAATTGCTAAGTGCTTTATGGCAGGGACTTCTTAGAAAAATCCATCTTCTATGAGCTAATTTTAGTTTACGAACACTAAATTTTAGTAACTCTTAAACTCATTCAACTAGTAATTGCTAGTAAGACCCACAGAAAGGATTTGCATTAGGGGGAATTTGAGGTTCACCAGCAGGAGTCCACCACATGATTGCAAACCAGAACCACCGGCTGCTATGTGGGTCTGTGCTGCCAGCTGCACTACAGGAGCTGGGCCTCCTGGCTTAGGCCACTACCCATGATCCACTGGGCTTGAAAGGCCCTTCCTCACTCTCTACGGAATAACTCATTGTTATTATCCTGCGGTAGTTGCCTAGGAACCTCAGAAAGGTCTGGCTGCTCCATGATGCTGCTCTTGCCTCTTTCCTCGGAGAAAGAATTGTTATTTCTAGCCACTGGGCTAGAGCTTCGTCATATTCAGTCATTCTCATTCTGTAAATAGAGTGTGATGATTTAGGAAATAACGTTAAGAAATAAGAGTCAAGTTTTTGCCAGCTACATGTGACATGTATGTAAGCAAATATGTGTTTTGATTGCAATTTGTAGGTACGATAATTAAACATTTTAAGCATAATAACTTATTCTAACACAGCACGGACTTTTAAAAGCACAGACTCAAAACTGTGAACTGTCAGTTCTTTAAAGGTAGATGGTATGGACATCAATTAAGTATGTTAAGAATATAAACTTTTTGAAGATTAGTTTCTGAGTAATACATTTGCTTGAACATAATAATGTTCATTATAATGTTATTGAACATTATATATAATGAACATTTTTATGTTCAAGTAAATGTATTAATTTCTTAGTAATATATTTACATTAAAACTCCTGAACAAATTTAATAATCACAAATGTGGACAACTGTTTCTTTTAGATAAGCCAGGATGCATTGTCCCTCTGCCTTTTGTAATAGGCTGTTTAAGCCAGATAATATATTTTACAAGTTGAAACATTTATTTTTTACTTGTGTGTAGGAACATTTAGGACCGGTTCTTGAAGAGACAAAAGGAATGACAGTATAATGTTTACAGTATATCCTAAAACTGTATATGACATATTTTCCATTATAGCGTCAAAGGGAGCTTGTGAAAACATGTTATAAATCCTAAGATAATTTTTAATTCTAGAAAAACAGCAAAGTCAATACAGAAAATAAAGTGCATTGCTAGATGTTCACAAACTCCTAACAAAAGTTTACAATTTCCTGCAAAATAAATGCATCATCCACTTCAGGATGTGGGTAAGACAAGCAGGTTCTGTGGTAACCGTTTCTCATACAAGGAAAATAGCTAGAGAGACAAAAATCTTTGCTAAGCTGCAGCCTCCTAGGTCTCCTGATTTGTAAGAGCAATACAAATAGAGATTGAGCTGTTTAAGAAGTAATTTAGAAATAAACATTTGATGAACCAGTAAAGTCTGTCAAATGAAATGGCTTTTAATTTACAATGGAAACAAATACTTTAACACAGTTTCACACTGTCAAAGCATTTTATGACATGGCATTACACTTTAGGTTGATGTACTAGGTCTAGTATATTTTACAACCATACAAAATAAATATCCACATATATCTTTTAAGGTTCTAGTCAATCCTTAATGATAATTCTCTTAGTGCTACAAATACAGATTCAATTAATTAAAATATAGTGTACATTTAATTTCTCATAATCTCATGTTATTTCCTTATCTTTTAACCACAAAGTTATCTTCTTATAATATTTACGTATTAGTGTTATTTTGCACTTTTCTTTGTTTATTGTAATGCATTCATTTTATTCACTCTTTGCTCCACAAACGTTTGTTGAGTATTTACTAAATACCAGTGAGTAATTAGGTAAAATCACCTTTTAAAAGATTTTTTTCATGTTGCACTTAGACTTTCCAGGACTCATTCAGTAATTTTTCTAATAAAAAGCCTCATTCATTCCACTGTTGTTGATGCACTCAAAACTTCTATACAAAAGCTATGATTGTTACATCTTTACTTCTAAGGGTGAGATGGGGTGGGATGGGGAGAGTAGGATGGTGAGGAGAGACATGGGTATGTATTACATGCATCCAGTATGAAGCACACTCAGCTAAGTGTTTAACTCATGTTAACTTAAAAAAAGTGGGTATAGTATATTACCTTTCCATAAATTGAAAAATGGAATCTATTAACCCTTAAGGAACTGGTCACCTAAGGTCACAGTTAGTAGTTGGCAATTCCAGTAATGTAGCTCTAGTCTGTCTAGTCTCAAAAGCTTTACAATAGTTCCCTAAAAATCACTGTTAGAATCCAATACTTTTTATTTCAATCTTTGAATAAAACATTGTTTGAATCTACGCTATTTATAAAACCCAGACCCACTCCTCTTTCATTTTGCCTGTAAAATATATATATATTATTTAGATCAATTACAAAAGAAACACTTTTTAACAATGGTTTTTAAAGCAGAAGTAGCACATACAAAGAAAAATGCTAATAAATAAATAAAACATTTTAAAAATTCTGAAATCTGTCTGCTCAATTATTAGGCTTGATGTTTTCTCAGACCACTTTCCTAAGACTACCAAGAACAACAGATAATAGCTTATGTATGTATAGTTTAAGCAACTAAAAAGTAGTAAAAATATACAAATTAAAATGAGGGAAAATACAAACAAAACATCTATTTTTATTAGTAGAAATGAAATAAATAATATCGCAAAATTAATGTTAAAGGAAAAGGATTTATTATATAGCATTCTAATTATTTCATATTGGTAGGTACCTTATATTCTTCATAATCATTGGTATCTAGTAAGTCCCTTTTCTCCAGTTCCGTAAGTTGTTCTCTTGAGGGGTCGGCAGGTAGTGTCTTAACAGAGGCTTGTTCATATATGGGCTTTCCATTGAAAAACAGTTCCTTCCAATCATGCATCAACTTATATGGAATCAGACTATTGAAAAAAAAGGTAGAGTTGGATCAATGGTTAGTCAAATACAGATTTTAAATATTTGTATTTTTATTATATTTATGTCATTAGCTCACTTTCATCAGACAAATAGAAGTAATTACTGAAAAATGATCTTAAAGGTTGCCATATGTACAATGACAATGATTCTAATATATATTAGATTTTTCTGTTACGAATTATTTATAAAATGTGAAATTACCATTCTCTTAAACAGGCCTTGAAAAGCACTCAGTTCATTTTGTTCGGGAGGTCATTTTGTTCATTTTGCACGGGAGGTCACTGATACTAGAGTATTTAAATAATTTCAATTAAGTTGATATCAGAGCTGAGAACTAAGGAACCTAAGTGTTTTGACTGTGCTCACTATTTTTAGATATATTGTTCCGCTATGAAACAGTCAATAAAAAAGTTTAAAGAACCAGTGGCATAAAGTAACATTCATTCTTCAAACCCACTAAGTTCCAGACATTTTACTAGCCATTAGAAATATAATAGCAAGTGGAATACCTGGACTTACATAGACTCTGGGAAAGAAGGAAAAAAAATAATTGCATAAATAAATGAAAGTTTTGAATAAGAATTATACAATGGGAAAGTATAACAATATGAGTCAACCTAAGTTGTTGGTTCCAGGAAGGTCTCTTTAAAGAAATGACTCCAAAGCTGAGGCCTAAAGAATGCTTTGGAGGCAACAAGGATGGAGTGATGGGAAAATTGTTTCAAGACAAGATGTGCGAAATGTCCTGATATGATGATATGCAGTTGGACTAGAACTTGAAATGACAACTTAAAAAGTAGTATGTTATTCTGATTCATGCTACATGAATGGACCTTGAAGACATTATGCTAAGTGAAATAAGCCAGACACAAAAAGGATGAATATGATATGATTCCACTTATACAAGGTGCCTACAAGAGAAATTCAAAGACATAAGGTAAGACAGAGATTATCGGCAGCTGGGGATTGGAAGGGATGGGGAATTAGTATTTAATGGTACAGACCTAACAACTTTTCCTGTTTAAAGGGCTGTGTGTTCAAAGGTCTTGAACTCCTAACAAACCTCATATTCAGGTACTTCTCCCTTTGCTTTCTCCATCACTTATTAGGACTTTAAAAAGACTCAAAATTACCTGTTTCCTCCTATTAACTTTTTAATATTCTCCTTCAATATGACTTACCATGACATTTGTAGACATTCTATGGCTTCATGATTGCAACCTACTAAAGTAGTCCACATATTTTGAAAATAATACAGAAGAAAAAACCGTAGCTATCTGAGCTTTACTATAAAATTCTTTTAGCATTTCATATGAGGATAGAAACATAAAATGACAAAAGTAGGATCATTTTTAAATAGCTTCTCTAATCATACAGAATATCAGTCTCTGTGTTCTTGCCAAGCTTCTCCTTTTCCTCAAGATTCTGACCTTGCCTCTCCCCACCTGATATGTTGAGGCTCCTGAATAAGAAAATCACCTGCTATGGCTTCTGGGGACCTGAATGCCTTTCTCAGAACTGACATTATTAAGATTCCATGCGTACTTTTGGGCTAGCAATTCAGTTTTCTCAAAGGACTCAAATTCCATCAGTTCACCTCAGATCAGCCTGGTCTGGTGAAGCAATTATTAATTCAAAATTTAAAAAGTGAGGAAAAATGCTATTATATCAAAAAAAAAAAAAAAGGACTGCTTTAGAAGCAGTACTACACTTTCCATTTTAGAATGAGCTCCTTTGACTTTAAATAACTTGGTCTGAAAATTACAGCTATGTGGTCTGCTTTAGCTTACATGAAAGGAAAATATCTTGGGCCCTTTCAAGCTGGGAACCACTCAGGGCAAATCTGCCTCCCATTCTATTCAAGTCATCTCTTTGCTCACAGAGATAAATATATATTCTGATTGCTTCTTTGGAAAGACTTATCAGAAACTCAGAAGAATGCAGCCATCTGTCTCTCACCTACATGTGGCCTGGAAGCCCCCAGTGGAGGGGCCTTGCTTTGAGCTGTCTCCACCTTTCTGGATGGAACTCACGTACTTACTTCTTGCATATTGATTGATGTCTCGTGTCTCCCTAAAATGTTTAAAACCAACCTGTGGACCTACCACCTTGGGCACATGTTGTCAGGACTTCCTGAGGCTGTCACAGGTGCGTTTTCAACCTTGACAACCTAAACTTTCTAAGTTAACTAAGACCTGTTTCAAGTTTTCAGGGTTCGCACTTAGTAGTATATATGAATCATTTATCCTACTTCTACGTTATTCTATTGCTACTTAAATATACTTTGACTTTTAAAATTAAACTTACTATTCTGAGGTAATTGTACACTCACCTTAGGTGTCAGAAATAATATGGAGATCCATATACCCTTTACCCAGTATCTCCTAATTGTAATATCTTGCAACACCACAGCACAATATCACAACGAGGATATTAACATTTAAATAGTCAAAATACAGAACTTTCTGTCACCACAGAACCCACCGTGCTGCCGTTTCATAGCCACCTTCACTTCCCTCTCACCTCCACCCCATTCTTAGCCCCTGGTAGTCACTAATCTGTTCTCAGTTTCTATAATTTTGTCATTTCAAGAATGTTATATAAATGAAATCATAGAGTATGTAACATTTTGAGATTGGGTTTCTTCCACTCAGCATAAGTATCTGGAGATTCATTCAGACTGTGACATGTATAGATAATTGGCTATTTTATATTCCTCAGCAATATTCCATGATATGGACGTATCATACTTTATTACCTGTTGAGAGACATCTAGATTGTTATAGTTTTAAGCTATTACAAATAAAGGTGCTATAAACATTTGTATACAGGAGTTTGTGTGAATTTAAGTCTTCATTTCTCCAGGATAAATGCCCAGAAGTATAATCACTAGGTTGTGTGGGAGTTGCATAATCAGCTTTTTAAGAAACTGCCAAACAGTTTTCCAGAGGGGCTATACCATTTCACGTTCTCGTCAACAATGAACTAGTGATTTTCTCCAGATCCTTGCCAGTGTTTGGTGTTTTTTTTCTTTTTTTTTTTAAATTAGCCATTCTTATAGGTGTGTAATGATATATTATTGTGATTTAAATTTGAATTTCTCTAATGACTAATGAGGGTGAAATTTTTTTACATGCGTATTTGTCATCTGGATATACTCTTCAGTGAAATGTCTTTTCATGTCTTTTGCCAATTTTTGAACTGGCTTATTTTTTGTTGTTGAGTTTTGAGAATACTTCATATTATTCTAGATATTAGTCTTTTGTTGGATAGGCAGTTTGAAATATTTTCTCCCATTCTATACATCCTTTCATCTTTTTCAAAGCAAAAAGTTTAAATTTTGAGGAAGTCCAACTTATAAAGTTTTGTCTTTTGCAGAGCAAACATTTTTTATTTTTTATTTTAATGCAATCCAACTTGTCAAGTTTTCCTTTTATGGATCATGCTTTTGATGTCAAGTCTAAGAATTTGTTGCCTACTCATAGAACTCAAAAATTTTCTCTTATTTTTTCTTCAAAGTTTTATAGTCCTATGCTTTATACTTAAGTCCATGATCCATGTTGAGTTAATTTTCATAAAAGGTGTGGAAAAAGGCATATGTGCATCTTAAAGCTAGTCACTGGGTAAATCAAGTCAGAAATCAAGGTCTCCTGGACCCCACCTTTTAGTCTTTTTATGAATCATTTTTGTCTCTCTTTACTTATCAGCATAGTATCTACTTCACAATCATATCCTTCCACATTCTCTATCGTATCTCTACTATGTTATTATAAAAAAATACTTACTTATTTGTCAACATTCGATAGTCTGCCACTTTAGTGGACAAATCAACTATTTGATCCAAAATTTCTGCACATATTGAATAATGCTTTTTATAACAAGCTTGAGCTCTTTCCACAGCAATCTGCTCATGATATCTCTTTTCTTTAAGGATTTGTTCTTCAAAATCAATCTTGGCTTGTTTTGCCAAAGCCTAAAAAGGCAAAAACATTTTTAAATCACTATAACTAATTCAAATAAAAATAATGTCATCCTTTCAATAGCCAAAAGATCTTTAAGTAGAATGAAATGTCTTCTGACATAAGGAAAAAAAATTAATCATGAATGAACACTTTCTTCTTAATATATTAGTACTGAGTATGATGGCAAAGTCAATATTGGAAATATTCAACTCTTAGCTGATGCTATCAACAAAGCATAATACAATGAAAGATGATCTAACTGGGGAAAGCCCAATGTGGATTAATGATGAATTGGATCTTAAGCCTTCAAAAAGAAGTTCTGAGTTCATTGGTTGTAAATACGGTTCAGAGAGAAACAGGCAAGTCTGTGCCAGACCCTAAGCATAGCTGACCCCTCACTCCCACATCCAGAGTATCAATTTGGACACATCTGCTATAGCCATTGCCCTTTGTCTTTGAATGGGAGAGTTCTATAATACTGATTTATACCTATAAAATATTTTAGAAATTCCCTGATTATACTGGCTTAAGAATATAACACATTTGCCAACAAATGTTAAATGTGTTAATTATAAACCCTCTATGGTTACAGGCTTAATAAACTGATGGCAATAATTTGTAGAAACATCTATTTCTGTAGAAATCAATAAAATACTTAGCTTGTCATCATCTATCCTTAGTGCACTATTATTTTGTTTAGGGAATCTTTTCTTCACACAAAGTACAAAGGTTGAACTTAGTCCAGCCAAGCTGAGAGTAACATAATACTTAATATGTGGGATTTGAATGAGCAAATATTGCTTTTCAGATAGCCATGGCAGCTTCTTGAGAAATTCAGTCACATGCTAATCTGCTCTAGGAAAAAGACTTGCCTCCTGCAACAACCCACTGAGTATAAAATGGAAGTAAACTTGGGCTGTGGAGGAGGTATGGTCGAGTTCAAGGCCTGGATTTTATATAGAATTCAAGTTCTAGCTGTGAGAGCTTGGGCAAGTCCTTAGCCTCCTTATGCCTTTGTTTCCTCAAAGTCAGGGTATTAATAATACTTAGCATACCCAGAAAAAGTACCAAACCAACTCATCAGAACAAATATCTCCTATTATGATACTATTCATAAATGACTAGATGTGTGACAATGGATTGCTGTATAAGGTCCACCGTTTGTTTTGCTATTGCTGGTTTTATTTTGTGTGCTTATTTCATTTTTGTTGGGAAAGGGGTTAAGCTGGATGATCACTAAGGTCAATTCTGTACATTTGACAGATCCAGGAATTACACCAGAATTTATTATTGTCGTATCATTCTGTACACCCTGTTTTCATGGATAAGGAGTACAATTTAAGTACAAAACTTTACGGCATGATTCATGAAGTGAAGAATTCAGAGAAAAAAATGAATCTAAGAGAGCAGAAATATCAGATGAGAATTTATGGAGAAAGTGACACAAAAATGGGTCACGAGGTTGGTTTACTACAGAGTGTCTTTGAAACACATGGAAATATTTAGGATGTGAGGAAGCAAAACCTTTAAGGGAATGGTAGAATGTTTTACCAGCAATAGTATAGCTTTCAACCCTGGTTGCTGCTCCATCTCCTTCTCTCTCTTCTTCCCTTACCCACTTCCTCCCTTCCCCAGTCCCTCTCTCCCTGTCTCTATTTCTCTCCCTCCTTTCATTCAGCTGTCTAGTCTTCCTTCTCCTTTTCTACATCTACCATCAATTCTCTGCCAAAGCTGCCACAATTTCCTGTCTCATTACAGCTAAGTGGGTTGCAGCCATAAAAAGAGAGGCAGGAAAAGGAAAAAGGAAGTCTGTGGGAGATAGTAAATCTCAGTGGTTATGAACCTGGACTCTGGAGTCTGATAGAACTGGCCTTGTTCCCTGCTATACCACTGATAAGCTGTGTGAATTTGAGCCTTCTAGTCTTCAATTTCCTGATGTGTAAAATGTAAATAAGGATAATATCCACTTATGGTTATTGCAATAATTATATGATACATGCATGTAACAAATGTAGTACAGTGCTTGACTGAAAGTTAAGGCTCAACAAATATTAAATATTATTGTAATTAATTATGAATAATAATAGATCAGGAACTGTCTTAATATAGAATAGTTTTTCAACTGCCTCAAAGGATGAGATTAGCAGATTTAATCTAAAAACAAAACAAAAACCCCCAAAAAATTGAAAGTGAAAGAAAAACACAAAGTTTTCCATCATTTTCTCTCTTCTCTGTCCTTCCTTTTTATTTCTTCCCCTCTCTCATTTTCTTTCTTTCCTTCTTTTCCTTCTTTTTCTTTTTTTCTTTGTTTCTTTTTCTTTTTTCTCTCTCTCTCCCTCCCCCCTCACTCCCTCTTCCCTTCCTTCCTCTTTCTCTTTCTCTCTTTCTTTCTTTCTTTTTGGCAAGACAGTCTTGCTCTGTCACCCAGAGCTGGAGTGCAATGGCGTGAACTTGGCTCATTGCCAATTCTGCCTCCCGGGTTCAAGCAATTCTCTTGCCTCAGCCTCCCAAGTAGCTGGAATTATAGGCATGTGCCACCACACCCAGCTAATTTTTGTATTTTTAGTAGAGATGGAGTTTCACCATGTTCGCCAGGCTGGTCTCAAACTCCTGACCTTGTGCTCCTCCCATCCCAGCCTCCCAAAGTGCTGGGATTATAGGTGTGAGCCCCTTTCTTCCTTCCTTCCTTCTTCCCTCCCTCCCTCTCTCCCTCCCCCTCCCCCTCCCTCTTCTTCTTTGCCTTCCTTTCTCTCTTTTTCTTTATTTCTTTCTTTTCACCTTCCTTCCTTCCTCCTCCTCTTCTTCTCTTCTTCCTCTTTCTTTCCTTCTTTCTCTTTCTCCTTCCTTCCTTTTTCTTTCTCTCTCTCTCTTTCTTTCTTTCTCTCCTTCCTTCCTTCTTTCCTTTCTTCCTTCTTCCTCCTCCTCTTCTTCCTTTCTCTCTTTCATTCTTTATCTTTCTCTCTTTCTTTCTTTCTTTCTTTCTTTCTTTCTTTCTTTCTTTCTTTCTTTCTTTCTTTCTTTCTTTCTTTCACAAGAGCAAACATGCTACTGCTCTTATAGACTTTACATGCCAGTGGGATGGGCAAACAAAGAGGCAAAAACAAATACAGATATAATTACACACTGTGACATGTCATTAGGGCAAGACCATGGTGTATGGGGCTATATAACAGGGACCTGACCTAGACAAGAAGGAGCATATGCATGGAGCTTTGAGAACAAGTATTAATTGGGTGAAGGCACTTGGGAAGAGGGGCAAATTAGAAGAAATGACTTGCTCAAGAATCTGAGAGCAAACCAACGTGGCCAGAGCCGGGCAATGAAGGGGAACAATGAAGCCTCAGAGGGGATTATATGGAGCACCAACAAAGGCCCAGCAGCCACCCCAAACTCTCCTGTGCCACTGAGGGGAGAGTGTGGGCTGCGGTAGCTGAGGTCTCAATAGCACTGGGCTTGCACCTGATGACCGCAGTGTTTCTAAGATGGCTTGGCCCTTATAATCTCAGGCATTGTACATTCTCTATGTGCAGAGATGGGCTGAAAGAGTACAACTTAGGGTTGAATTAAGGAACATAAATACTGTTATATTCTGAAACTCTTCAGTTTTTGGTTGCCAATTCATAACCACTAAAAATGGATGAAGAACCACTGCAGTAGTAGTACTGCATTAGAAACCAGGGGTGGTAGTGTAGACATGGAGGAAAATGGACACAATGAAGAGAAATGTAATGCATGAAAATGATAGTGCTTAGTGGGTGTTTTGGGTATGCAAGAATAAGAATGAAACAGCTAACAGGTGGGTCCTGAAATTTCAGGCTTGTACAATTGGATACACAATGATGCCATTTGTTGAGCTATGGAACATTGAAAAAGACTAGCTTCATAGAAAAGGTCACAAATTTGGCTTGGAACATGTTGAGTTTGAAGTGTCTCTGAGACAGGACCACAGATGTCAAGGAATACTAAAACTATGGACCTTCATCTTGAAGGGCAGAGGCATAACTCCATGAGTTATTTGTCTCTTGCAGTAAAGGCACCACCATGGTTGCGGATGCGGTTGTCTGAGAAATAACATAGAAAAGAAAATAAGGAAGCCTAAGATAAAGCTTTGAGGAATCTGTTAATAAATGTTTTTATATAAGAGAACAATGAGCCTTCAAATACAATGACCTTGCTCCTGAGAAGGCACAACCAAAGAAGTAGGAAAAAAAATCAGTATTTTCCATAGCAATACTTAACAGAATGTGGCCATAGAATAGCAAATCAATACAATTAAATAGGTAATACAAGTATTATTTATAGTCTGTGAGCATAGTTAAAAAACCTTAAAGACCTTAATAGACTTAAAAATACATTTAGAATACTCCACCTTCTCCCACTCACAAATAATAATACAAATTATAAGAACAATAAAAACTAAGAACAAAGCTGGAAGCATCATGCTACCTGACTTCAAACTACACTACACTATACGGGGCTACAGTAATTGAAACATAAAAACAGACACATAGACCGATGGAACAGAATAGAGAATCCAGAAATAAGACCACATACCTCCAGCCATCAGATCTTCAACACACCTGACAAACACAAGCAATGGGAAAGGATTCCCTATTTGATAGACGGTTCTGGGATAACTGGCTAGCCATATGCAGAAGACTGAAACTGGACCCCTTCCTTACACCATATACAAACATTAACTTAAGATGAATTAAAGACTTAAATGTAAAACCCAAAGCTATAAAAACCCTGGCAGACAACCTAGGTAACACCATTCAGGACATAAGCACAGGCGAAGATTTCATGATGAAGACGCCAAAAGCAATTGCAACAAAAGCAAAAATTGACAACTGGGATCTAATTAAATTAAAGAGCTTCCGCACAGCAAAGGAAACTGTCAACAGAGTGAACAGACAATCTACAGAATGGGAGAAAATTTTTACAAACTCTGCATATGACAAAGGTCTAATATCAACATCTATAATGAACTTAAACAAATTTACAAACAACCCCATTAAAAAGTGGGCAAATGACATGACCAGACACTTTTCAAAAGAAGACATACAAGCTGCTAACAAACATGAAAAAATGCCTAACATCACTGATCATTATATAAATCCAAATCAAAACCACAATGAGATACCGTCTCATACCCGTCAGAATGGTTATTATCAAAAAGTCAAAAAACAACAGATGCTGGCAAGGTTGTTGAGAAAAACGAACACTTTTACACTGTAGATGGAAGTGTAAATTAGTTCAACTATTGTGGAGGACAGCGTGGCAATTCCTCAGAGATCTGGAGGCAGAAATATCATTTAACCCAGCAATCCTATTACTGGGTATATACCCAAAGGAATATGAATCCTTCTATTTTAAAGACACATGAATGCCTACATTCATTATAGCATTATTCACAATAGCAAAGACATGGAATCAACCTAAATGCCCATCAGCGATAGACTGAATAAAGAAAATGTGATATATATACACCATGGAATACTATGCAGCCATAAAAAAGAATGAGATCATGTCTTTTGCAGGGACATGGATGGATCTGGAGACCATTATCCTTAGCAAATTTATGCAGGAATAGAAAAACAAATACTGTATGTTTTCACTCATAAGTGGGAGATAAATGATGAGAACACATGGACACACAGAGGAGAACAACAAAAACTGAGACCTTTCAGAGGGTGGAGGGTGGGAGGAGAGAGAGCATCAAGCAAAATAATTAATGGGTACTAGGCTTAATATCTGGGTGATGAAATAATCTGTACAACCAACCCCCATGACACACATTTACCTAAGTAACAAACCTGCACTTATACCCCTGAATGTAAAATAGAAGTTAAACAAATATATATGTATACCAAAAAAAATCCTCCTTCTTCACATAAAATAAGTAGTAGAATGATAATGTAGAGAATAAAATGGACTTTGTTTAGTTAGTGAATGATACTGGAAAGAAGAGGTGACTGTTAATTTGGCAAAGCAAATTCAACATATATTGCTTTATTTATTCAGTTCCTACTTATGTACTAGCCACTGTTGGTGGAGAAGTTGATAAATTCAACATGTATAGATGAAAGCCATAAAATTCAACCATCCCTAAGGGATAGGTGCCAAGGAAGTAGATACATCTGTTGTTGGAAAAGGTAATCATGTGAGAGTAAGAAATATAATTTTTTCAGGTGCTTTGGAACCTCACAATTTAGGTCTCTGAGGCTTTAGCAGGTCCAACTGTTCCAGTACTCTGAAGTTAATTTAATCCCAGTTCAAGAAAGAATAGGTGATCCTTATCATCCTGAGACCAGTCCAGCTAAACATATTTTGCTATTTAGCTGAGCTTGTGAAATAAACATATGTTTTAAATAGGCACTTAGAAAGATAAACACATCATTTCTAATGTAAGCAAATGCCACTCTAATCTAGTCAAGTCTACTTTTGCCAAAGAAGAGAGACATGAAACAATCATCCAGATAACTCAGCTTTTAAGGCCAAAGAAGACATTGAGGTCAGCATTCATTCAGCTCAAATTCATGGGGAATGGCTCCCTCTCCCATTCCATACCTGCCATTTAGGCTATGCCTGTTCCACAAAGGTAAAAGCAACACTTTCCTCACTGCAAAATATGCTACTGTCCAAATGATATTTCTTTTTTTTTTTTTTTTGAGACGGAGTTTCACTCATGTTACCCAGGCTGGAGTGCAATGGCGCGATCTCGGCTAGCCGCT